AGATTAATACATTTTCCATAAACAGGTCTGAAGGAGACCACAGAAGAACTTTTCAAGAAGAAAGATCAAAACGAGGAAATGACGGCATGGCAACAGTACCAGAAAAATAAAAAGGAGAAGAAAAAGGAAAAGAAAAAAGAAGAGGAAGTGAAAAAAAAGCAGATTAAACAGGTGAAGTTAGTTTTACTGTCAAAAATAAAATGTTAAAAGAAAATATGGAAATAATTTCAAAGCCAGACCTGAATTCAAGCAGACTTGACATGTGACCATTTAGATAGTTCATCGTCTAATTGTTATGTTTCTTAAAACAACATTGTATGGTATAAGTCCTGTAGCCAGGGCCTAACTTGTTTGGATAAAATAATTTCTTTTCATAATTTTTAAAAATATTTAATTCAACTGTAATTTTTGTTTCTATAGCAACAAACTGGTTACCTAGTGATGATGAGTTGCCGGCTGATGTTGACCTCAATGATGAATATTTCAAAGAAGCCCTCAATGAGGGTAACGAAAAGACAGGTATGTTTTGTTCTTACCTCAAAAAGACAATCCACAACAATACTTCACTAATAAGTTCCCGACACCAAGCAAAAATCTATTGTATACTACATCTTTACATTATGACTTTGACCATTCACTACTAAAATATTGCCAATATGGTAGACATGATAACATCTATGTTCATCAACATTGATTCTTTCCATTAGTTTCCAAGGATGCACGGAAGAAGCGGAAGAAGAAAAGAAAAGAGGAGGAACTGACAGCTGAAGAACTTGAAGAGAAGAAACAAAAGGAGGTTGGTTTCATTCCTCTCGATGGAGGGGTAAATTGCAGATGAAGTGCTCTTTGATCAGTTATTCAACCTACACTAAACACCACTGAAGCATCATTGGTCAATACATCCAAAAAGTCCAGGCAGCCAGTTACATTTTTTCTTTCTCTACTCCCCTATTGGTTTCTCTGCATGGGATGTAATGACTGACTTTGTTGTCTGTTTGTATATGGTCACCTGGCAACCATCATGATTTTAGTCAGTCATCCAGTCCATTATTGTTAGACTTGTAGCCATTTTGTGTTTTTGCTGTGTATCAGTTTTAGTTCTATTCCCAATAATTGAATTACTCTTCTCAGTGTTGAATCTGTCAATTTTATTATCTTTTATACATCACTGGATTACTTCACTCATTAGAATTACCCCCCCCCCCCATGATGCAATGTACAGAGCACAGTGAACAGGTTCCCAAATGCCTATTCAAGGTACTGAGAATTGAAACAGTGAGATTAACACATATATTATGAATTTTGTGAATTCAATCTGACAGATTGTAGTTCAAGTTCTTGACTTTCAAAAATGTTCTTTGTATTTGATATGGTTGAAACAGTCTTTTGTTTAATACATCAACTGCCTGTCAGTCTTTCCATTCATTCTGTTCATTCAGGGAGACTTGTGATGTTAAAATGTTGTCATGGTAACTTCTCCTGATAAATGATGTCATTCACTACATGTATTTTGTTGGCAGGCGGAGCTAGAACTACTGTTGATGGACGAGGACGACGACAAACAACATTTCAGCCTAAAAGCCATCATAGATTCAGAAAAGCAAAAGAAGAAGAGGAGGAAGAAGAAAAAAGTTGAGGATGAGAAGTTGAAATTTCAAGACAACTTTGAGGTTGATGCACACGATCCGAGATTCTCCGCCATTTACGAATCCCATCATTACCAGATTGATCCATCTGATCCGCACTTTAAGAAAACTAAAGCCATGGATGTGATTATCCAGGAAAAGCAGAGACGTCGTGAGAAAGAGGACAAATCTACGAAGGTTAGGTTACAAGAAAAGGCTAAGGAGGGAAATGTAAAAAGTGGAGGTCAAGACAAGAGAGTACTGTCAATGCTAGTAAAGTCTGTCAAGAACAAAACTGACGAATTTAATGCAAGGAAAAGTAAAAAATTGAAATTAAAGTGAATAAGAATCTATGGGATGCCACTATGTCTGTTCAGGTCCAGCATCTCTGAAAGAAATGTGCTCTAAAGGGAGAGTATGAAAAGGTCTCTATTAATACAGCAGCACAATTCCTATGTATTGTAAACTACTGAATGGTGACTTAGACTGCAGTGCGATGCTCACTCATGGCTACAAAAGGGGTATTGTGATTTCCTTAGACTTTAGAAATTAAAGCCATAGTATTGTGGCCCTGTGGAGTGTTTACCTGGAACACAATATGCAAATAAACTGAAGAAGTAGCACAATTATATACAAGATTATGTATAGGAAACGGTATGTGAGGTCTCCGTAGTTGAGATTTGTTTGCAGGTGTACAGGTTTCTCAAAGTCTTTATGAATAATTGCTGCACTAATTTTACCTGAAATTTTGTAAAATCCTTTGAAAGGAAGATTTTGATGAAATTTGTAATCCCCAGCAGTTTTAATTACTCTGTATCATGAATCCATTGCAACACCAAAGATGATTCAGTATACTTTTAGTTTTTCATGCAATGAATGTTCTACACTGATGCCAATTGACTAATATATATGAAGCTAAATATATTTCAGTTTGTTTATTCTACAATAAAATACATTACGTGTATTGGGTAGAAAAAGTGCTACTGTATGTATAAATAAAGTATGAATTTCATCAATCCAGTTTCTATATATTTTTTATAAAGTAATATCAAACATTCCAATTTGTAACATGCTCTGCTACATGACAGCTCTACACTGCACTGCACCTGCTTGTTTCCTACAGTAAAGTGTACTGTACAGTTATAACAGAATTCCATGCAGCAAAATTGTCATCAGGAAACGTTGAGCCTTGTTGCATTGGGGTGGTGATAAAATAAAGATAATTCTATCATTAGTGATAACTGCTGCTTTATTTTTGCTCTGTTTCAAAGAATCCAGTCGGTAGCCTTGTAGTTTCGCCGTTCTTTGGCTTCGGTAATATCGAGAAGAATTTGAATCTCTCGCCCATGCTCTTCGGATCAACCAACATTTTATATCCAGACATCAAATTCTTTTGTTGAGTTTTGGTGGCTTTTTTCATTAAGGCCTGTAAATAAATACATGGTCGGTGTTTTTAGGATACGATATACAAGTTTCCTTGACAGCTGACCTATACTGTTCAAATGAAAGACTTAATAACTAAGGTGATGCATCCATTTTGAACTACAACATGCTCAAATCTCATTTCCCATGATGCACTCTGATTGTCTTTTACTACTGGAACTTGTCAAACACTGGTCCAAACTCATTTAACTCCAGGAATTCAGCTAAAATTTAGAAATCATGCACATGTATATAGGCTGATGTACTGTAAAAATAATTTTTTTTCGCTGAAAAGACTTTTTGGGTATTTTGTATGGAATTTATTTTCACTGAGTTTTGATAAAGTTGAATGTAAAATATAGGAAAAATGTATATTTGCTGCATTTTATTTTCACTTAATCGTACCTTCAGCGAAAATAGCAAAAGTTAAACCCAAGCGAAAATATTTACAGTATACAAATACACCTCTAATCTTGATAAAACTAAGCCATGTATGCTTACCTCTAATCTGACTTCAATGCCCATATTTAGCAAAAACTTCTCCTGTGTGATAGGTCCGTAACAGAGGGCTACAAATGAAATTTCCAGTAAGACCGTTACAAATAACACCTTTGAATTGTGTCTGTATTCCCAGAACTTTCTTTTATGTGTCATGACATGACATGAACACAGTCCTCTGCAGTTCAAAAGTGAAACTTTATCAAAGGGTAAACGCAGAAGATGTAAACAGGGTTTTAGCCGTTATCAGTATCTAGTTTGATTCACCCGACATCTCCATGATTG